AGAATTCTCCTCCACACCCAGGTGTGTAGCTAGTGTCGAAAATCCTAGCTCTGTCGGGATTCGAACCCTAGGACCACCCGGTCAGACACACTACAGTGAAATCAGTTGATGCCATGAACCACCTTTGCCGGTGGGTCATTAATAAGAAACCATGCAAATTTCGTTCAGTTCTCCACATCTTGGTAATCCATGTTATACTTGTGAATGCTTTTTTTATACCCACACACAAAATATATTCTACAGGAATACATTGCATATACTTTGATTGCATATATTTTGCGCATGCTCTTATTACTTCGTTCCCAAATGCATTAAATGATATTTTCATTAGTTCCCTAAGTGTAGTACATGCTTTTATCATGCAAGGGGGCAGTGTTCTTCCCAGCTGGATGAACGTGAGATGCGGCCCCGACCTACAAGTAAATACTGCACACCATATCAGAAAAGAATTTGCACACGTTCCAAGATCCAAACCAAATAATGTCACAACCAAATTATTTAGCTACTTCCAGTATAAGATTAATTTCGAATCATTAATAAATCAACTTTTCATGTATAATTTAATTTGTTACGCATTTCTCTCATATTATATTAATTCTTTCGAGACAAATGAGCTTAAAAAACCGTCCAAAAACGTGTCGCTGCGGGCTTGCCGGAGCGCTGCGTTGCTCGCCCTCCGCGGCAAGCCCGCTTCCTCCCGCCGCCGCCGCGCCGGTACCGTTCCGCCGTTCTACTTGCGAACTTCCTGCCGGGGAACACGCGCGCACAATTCGCATCCTCCTTAACTGCGCCTCTGCCTCCAGAGGCGAACAGTCATCTCAATTACATCAACGTCCCTAATGAGGGGACTCCTTAATTGAGACAACTTTTGCGGAAGTGAACGGAAATTAAACTCTTCCAATTGTTTCCGCTTTGTAAGAAAATTGGAGAGTGAAAATACATGTTTAAACAAAATATAAATAGAATTAATACTCTAAGGTTATGCTGTAGTAAATAGTGAAATGATTATGATGAAATTTAGAGATTTTTGTAGAAATCTTATTCACATACTGTGTTTAAATAATAAGAGCAATGATTCGAAAATAAATAGGTTATTATTCACTGAATTGTATTCCTCTTAAGAGTATCTACACACGCACTGATTAATTTACAAATGTAAATGAGTTAAATGATGAACATAAAGCAATGTTTAGAAGGAAAGATAAACATAATAGTAAATTTGAGGTAACATTTATAGCATTTTGTGCTCTACATATAACACAACTAACAATAACTTACGGACGGCAAAATGCACTCTACCTCCGTGCTCCTCTACCTAAAGACGAACTAGAATATACAAAAATTCCTTATTTTCGTCCGACTACACCTTACGGCGTGTGTGTGTGTGTGTGTGTGTGTGTGTGTCTGTGTGATGGCTGGGAGAAATTGCAAGTCAAACTACTGGGTCCACCGACGTGGCTCGAAGACCATGTGGTCTAATACCCTGTTCCGGTACAAATGAAGTTCGTGCTATCGGTTTTAAAGATAGTGAGTTACGTTGCAACTACTCGTAGTAGACTCTTGCCGCAGTAGCTTAGAGGCATATTACGTCTCACTCACTTTGCGATTCTACTAGTTTACTAGTTTAAGAACGGGAATTAAGGGAAAATATTTAAGTTCCGGAAAGATATATGAAATTCTGTAAATGCACTCCATGCCACAACACAAGGAAAAAACCCTCATCTTACGCGGGATTCAAATCAACAAGGGTTGGGCGAACAAGAACTTGGGCGAACATGCTCCAAGCGTCACTAGGGCTTCGGGCTTCTTTCATTCATGAAGAACCTTACTCACATTCTAAACTGATGCCACAAAGTATTTCTATTTCTTAATACCCCTTGTAAAATTATGTAACGCAGGAACCACCTGCTCGTGATTACAGGAGGTTTTGACTATTTTCTATTCTGTATTAGCCTTTTGGCATTTGTTTTTCCACTTTCAGCGCCCTCTGAAAATTAACGGGTCATAGGAGATCGTAAATGCTTTCAGGAAGTGTGAGAAGATGGCGTGGCAAGCGCCATGCTTCTTGTTTATTTTCCGTAATATTTACTGTTAAAAAAGCCATTGAATATTTGTATTCATTTTAAAAGGAGGCTCAGACCTCAAGATCGCTCTCTATAGGACATAGCCGGGTAAAATACCCAGCATTTATTGGGGTTTCAACCAGAGTCTCTGAGGTTAGCTTTTTTATGCAAGTCATACTTTATCATTTTATATGCTCTCAAAGTATCGCCTACCACCTTAAAATATTCAAAATCCTTCACTTGAATCTTTTCATTTAATGTTCCATTCAAATACCGATTTACATATTTTCTCTCGTAAGTTCCTAGCATTATTGCAAGTGTTCTCAAAAGTTTCTTCAATTAAACCCCTCATACTGTGACGATCTCTTTCTTTCTTAAAAAAAACTTTGTAACGCCCAGTCATATCGCGGACACACCTCTCAACGAAATTTTTAAAAAGCAAAACATTTACGTATTTACTCGCTGTTGTGGGCAAAGTTCTGTTCGTTCTGTTGAATTTCGTTCATAATACACGTCGGCAAGATTACGATAGACAATAACTAAACTATACACCAAACGATGAATTACCCAAACGATGATACCAACTATTTCTTTTTACCAAATATTTCTCGAACAAATATGTCTGTCTTCACACGTAACAAAAGCTTGAGCCTCAGTTAACTGAGTTATGCCGCAGTTTAACAGAACTTCTACAACTTATTTTTGATAAATTATTCAATTAAAACGTCGTATTTTCACTTAAATGCCATTATCATACTTCGCATTGACTTTTTCTGGAAATTCACCGTTCTACAGTCTGAATTTCGTTTAGGCCATTTTAATGCAAATTTCCGATTTTTCAAATTTCTTCATGAATCGAAAAGAAATATCATAGGTAAGTTGAGAAGGCACAACCATTTCAAATAATAAATAAGTAGATGTAAATATTAAAAGAGAAAAATATTCTTGCAACAGTTGGTTGATACATATTTCTCCATGTAAAAACTGATGGAACTACAACACCACATACTTGCTCGTATTATTGGTAACATGTACCATCATAATATTACGACGACTTAAAACGTCAACAGCATCGCAGGTGTCTAGCGACCAATGTTTATATCTTCTAAATTAATATAATTTCATGAATATATCCAGAACATCAATCATTCAGCCATGTTCTTTGGACAGAACTTTGTAATATTCCAAATAATCCAAATTGTAATAATTGTAATAATCCAAATTTTGTTCCTTTGTAATAATCCAAATTTTACGTAGTTGTCCATAGTATTTTCAGTATTATTATGTAGTGAAACGTGCGTGACTGCGTAGCTTCTTGCATGCCGAGACGAAAGCGACGCGGTGCAGCGAACTACAAGAAGCAACGAAGAAGAACTCGAAGCAGTCGCGACTGTTTCCTTCCTCCGCCGCGGCGTCACAAGTACAGCGAGATGACCAGGGCCTTGCACTAATGGCGACTGTAGAAGGCAGCTAGACACTGTGTGGCGATACTGCATCACAACAATTGTAGCTCCGAGAACTGTTAAATCAACTATTTATCTTAACGGGCGTGGTATAGTATTCACGGTCATAGAAATTGCCTGCTCATGCAAAAATATTATTACAAGATTTCCTCAAAGAGCACTAATTCCCGTTGTGGATCAGTGGATTTTGAATACGGTCGCTAAGAGTACAGTTTCTAATCTAGGTGTATATTCGCATCTCTAATTCTTTTCCAAAGACGGAAATATTAGTGTCATCCCCTTCTTTTTATGTATTATACAGCCCTTGGGGTAAAGGAAACATGGGGAGAGCATGTTGTATTACCACCACCGTACCTAGCTTACTTGGCCTGCGTGAGGTTCTTCTTTCGTCACACAGCTAAAGAAATTGAGATGATTTGTATCAGACAGCTTCAGCTTCATTTTCGTCCCGGCCGGGAACTGAACCCGGGACCTCCTCACAGAAAGAAAGCATTCTGTCCATACTCCACCTTAGGTGCTGGTCTTAAAGCACAAACACTGAATTTTAATATAATCGTAACATTAGTAGAATGAACACTTATCTGCCGTCGTTTATTCATTACGTCGCGTGTTTGTGTTAAGACCTAATTCGCGTATGTCTTGGTCTTGCCGAGCAAGCGTGTGTGAGTGTGAAGTTATAATTAGCCATACAATTTCACCTCTCCTTTTCCCTTCTTTTAACTTCACAAATCCCCAAAATATTTAAATTGTGCTTTTCCGTTCTTTTAATATTTCCACTTCTTTTCCCGTTATTAATGTAATATTCCATATGCATATATTCATGTCCACTTCTTTGCGCGGTCGTGTAAGTTATTTTTCTTGTCCGGGGGTATTTAAGTTTCTCTGAATCCGCTAAAAGAGTGAGTGGGTGGTTGACCCTACGTCACTCTTCCCAGTGGGGATGTCCCCTTTCTGCCTCTGGGCGTGCGGGATTTTGTTCAGGGTTTTCTCCCCTAGCCTTTGGATATTCCTCTTCTCCCTGCAAGGAAGCAGGTTGGTTTTCTCTCAGGACTTCCTTCCTTCAGGACCAATGTTCCCAACTGCTTTCAGGATCTTCAGACTCGCCCTCGCCCTTCTCTCATTAGCTGCTCTCCAAGCTCTCACCTTAGAGAGCACCCACAGGGAGGAGAGTGCAAGACTTGCTGACTTTTAGACCAACGTTGTATATTCCCATTACAGTAGGGCATTACTAGTGTTTTAATGGTGTTTGCTTGTGGGCATAGGTAAACCCCCGCCAAGGTCAAGTCAGTCATTTGACCCCAACTTTCTTCCTTTTGTGAGATGTAATTGCAAGGGTTGAGCTAGTTTATATTTGTTCTTCATAGTATATTGAATTGATCGTTTTTAGGTAGTGGTTTAAAGCGGGCTTGCAATGGCCCGCTGGCCAGCGCGTGGGAGCGCGAGGCTTAGAGGTGCGCGCGTGGCGCTGTCGCAGGTGCGCGAGGCGGTGGCGGCCAGCCCTGCGCTGGGGCCCGCGCTGCTGCGCGTCGATGTGCACCGCTTCGCCGCGGGCTCGCTGCTCGTCTTCTTCCGGCTGACGCTGGACCGGAGGAAAGTGGGCGTGCCGGCGGGCGGCGCGGGCGCGGGGCAGGTGGAGGAGGCGGCGGCGGCGGCGCTGGCGGCGGAGGAGGCGCTGCGCCGCGAGGCCACGGCCGCACGCCCGCGCGCCTTCCGGCGCGTGCCCCTCGACCCCGCGGCCATCTTCGTCGGACGTAAGTGCTCCCGCGACACGCTTCATGGCGCAAGTCAGAAATGAAAACTTTTTAGATGATTAATATACAAACGTCTGTCAGAAACGAATGCCTCCGAATTTATTAAGTTATTAATTATTCCTTTTTCAAACAAGAAGGGTAAAACTAATATTAAAGTTTTCCCACAACTTTCTTTAAAAATAACTCATTGTTAAAAATAGTCTTCATTTAGCTGCATAGTTTCTGTTCGACGTTGAACTAGAGCGTATATTTCCAGGTGGTAAAAAACGCTTCCCTGCTTCTTCAGCCATTGACGCACGGCGGTTTTCAAACTATGATTGCCGTGGAAATGACGACTGCTTCAGTTTCCTTTTAAAGTTACGAAGCCTTTAGGAAGGAGTGTATTTTGTTACTTGTGACAATTTTTTATAAGAACTGCTGTCCTTTCATCTCGTAAAGGCGCAAGAGATAGGCAGCTATTGTTTTTCTTGCGTCTTTGTTGAGCTATGTTAGCGTTCTGGACGAGCATAAACTTTCGAATAACCCAAATGGTCTATGATAGCTATTACACTATCTTTTCCAATTGGCATTAAAGAGCACAATTCACTCATAGTCACCCGGCGATTTTCTCGAATGTCATCGATGCGATGGATATTCTCCGCAGTTTGCGGACGACCGCCCCGTTGTGCATGTGCCAGGTCAAGTTGTTCTTCGCCTCCGACCTCTGCAGCGTGGAACCCACCGCCCAACAACAGGGCTAGCATCCACTGCAGAATCTCCAAAAACGTAATTTAAACGCTCATGGATGCAAATAGACGACTGGTCTTATTCAAGAATTCAATTGTAGCTCTCTTCTTTAATCGCACATCGATGTCAACCATTTTCGATGAATATACAGTGCTACCAACCGTTGGCAGACAACACTGTTACTGACAAGCAAAGGTGCAAAAATGTCTGACGAAGCTTGGAAAATATTAATTATCCCAATATATAATATAATAATAATAATAATAATAATAATAATAATAAAGTCAAATTGCTAACTATAGGTTTGCAATTTTTTCAGCAAAAAGCTTATGCGTCTGTCGTATTTACCTAGATCAACAATATATTTAATGAAAAATTAACAGTAGTAAATTTGGTCGTTTTGCGATTGCTTAATTTTCCATGAACTGGGCGAAATATCATTTAAATCGTAATTAATCATATAATTGCGTAAGACGATTAAAGATACATTTTTGTGTTCTTGGTTGCAATCATCCATTTATTAAACGAATCCTAAAATAAGAAGAGCGCTCGTATTTGCCATACAAAGGCATTAAAAGTAATATTAAAAAGAAAAGGAAGCCTCACTGGATTTGAATGAGAATACTTGTACAAAGACTCAGCCAATTCAATTGCCACAATCAGCTAAAGAAGATGCTACGGCAAGAAATTAAAATAAATGGGTCAATTAACTGTAGTTGGTTAGTGTATTCGTTATCCACACCGATGTCTTGCACAGAAAACTCTTAAATTTCGAAAATTCGGAAATTTCATATTCTTTGGGGCCAAGTGTTGGATGTGTTGACTTCTTAGGTTGGTAAAGAATTAGAGTAGAGATATATCTACATATGACTTTTTTATGAAATAATTAATCGTTACATCCCAAAAGTTCCACATTCCAATTGATAGCTTCCATCATAATTCCACATTATGATCATCAATAATCTACGACCGTTAAGATATAATAAGTAGATCCACAGAAGTGCCTTGGATGGCAATATAAATAATACAAATTGAGAGTCAGTTTTGGCTTATCAAACAAATTTCACTTTTTCTTGTAACCTCTACTTACCTTTATTATTCCACTATTTATTTAAGTAACTATTTACAATTTAAACGTGTTTTAATTCTTAATAAATTTTACTAAGTCTTCAAATTTGCGTTTTCTTTGGCCACTTAGGAAGGTTTTATTATTATCTTCTTAGGAATCTATCTCATATTTTCTGTATTTGTATTAGCACTTTACATGACATTTCCGTTTTCAATGTTCAGGTAACCGAATTTAGCTGAAGATTAATTAATTAAATGATTGATTAATTGATTAACATGCTGCATTTAGTTAAGAAAAATTTGTCTCTAGACTTTTTTGTCGGGATCCATGAACTCTAGGAAAGATTAAAGTCATTATTTTCGTCTTTTGTCACCATAATCTTTCAGTTCAAAATATTAAAAGAGCGTATGCAAACATCATACACTACTTGATTCCCAGAGACAATGAGAAATATTTGTTTTGAAAGAGGCAAATAACAGCAAATAAATATTTTTTTGAATTGTTATATTTCCTAATTGATATAATTATTGGTTAATATTATTTGTCATGTTAAAATTATATTGTTTCTCAAAATACAAACCTTTCTTGCAAGATATAGGTGTAATTAATGGGGTTTCACACACGTATTACAATCCCTATACATAGTGAAACATACCCATCACAAAAACGAAAGAGACCTTCATTCAGTGGAACACGAGATTTTGTGTCTGAAGAAGAAAGTTTTAGTGAAATCGAAATCATGAAATCATGAAATCGAAACCATATTCCGCAAAATGTCCACGGGTCTGCCGCAAACGACAAAAATCCCGTCGCAGGTCGCTACTCCCGATGCCTGGCCGCGCAGCCCCACGTGCGCGCGTGACGTTCCGAGGCCTTTTCATGCTCTTCGACTCTCTCCTCTCCGATCCGGCCTCTGGCGCAGCATAAAATTGCATATGCAAGGCCTTCAAGCACGGTAATGGGAGTTATGTTAATGAGATTTTCCTCTGCGGCATGTAGTAACGGCTGCTTGAAGCAAAAGTGTTTCTCTTCTCAGCACCCGTATAAAACACAAAAATTTCAAGACTGTTGGAAAATTCCGTGAATGCGTCATTCAAGGGCGGAGAAGAACAAAATTGGTATTAGTAAGCTCAGAAAATGACAAGTGTCATGGGAGATTTCATTCATTAGAATAATGAAACCAACTGATGATTTTTCGTGTTTAGCTAGTCTATAATTAGGAAATAACATCCTACAAAGGTTAGATTAATAGTAACGTATGGGGCAGAAACATGGATCCTTACCAATAACAATGAGATACTTGATAGATTTGACAAAACAATAAAAGAAATATACATGGAGCAACCCTTATCTGCCCAGCGGGCCCGTGTGAGCCCCCCCTACGAATCTGTAGCTACTTCTCCTTCAAATGTTGCAGCAATACAATTAGAACATCGTGTTGTTTTCCATAACATCCTAAAAGGTGTCACCATGTGCATTTCTAAATTTTGAGACGAAATTTTTTTTAAATTATAAAATAGCATAAAAATATTTTTTTACAAAAGAATTCAGACAGAAAAGGGTTAAGAGAAAGAAGATATAGATTAAGACACAGTGAAGGAATTCATAACTTATTGGAAGGGGAATATTTAATTAGACGTGTAAAATTTCGCAGAATTTCTAGGTTGAAACATGCGCCGAGAATAGGAGTAGAAAGAACGCTGAAAAATATAGAGGAAGTCCCACCAACTATGGACCACCCCCATAACTTCTAAACGGTTCCCGATCTCGAAATGCAGTTTTCGCTCAACAATATGGAATCATGGGACAAGTAATGTGCCGAAGAGATATCGTTCGAAATATATTTAGTTTCCGAGAAATTAAATCATTTATTTTTTAAATGGATCTTTGTATTTATCTCACTAGCAATAGATAGATCAAAAATAGCCAAATTGAATGATGTAACTTAATGTTTTGATTGTATTTTGAGTAAAAAATTATACTTTCCGTCATGCAATTTTTAATTAAATATACAAGATTTCCGGTAGCAACCCTTTCAACTCTCTCCTTTGGGGAAGGTTGCCTTCGCGGCGCCGGCTCTTTTACGGAGAGAGGGAAGAGATCGCATGAATCGCCAAAAGTGACAGCTGCGACGACAGCGACAGAAAAAATTGCACGTTTAATTTAAAATTTCAGATCAGAAAGTGTAATTTTATGCACAAAATACAACCGAAATATTAACATATGTTACGTAATTGCATTTCTCTTTTTATGATCTATCTATTGTTAGTGAGGAAAATATATAGTTACATTTTAAAAATCAAAGATGATTAAATTTGTCGAAAACTAAAAATATTTCAAACAATATCTCCACACCATATCACTTGCCGCATGATTCCTCATTGCTGAGCGAAACCTGTCTGTCGATATCGGAAATCGTTCAGAAGTTACGAGGATGCCCCATAGTTGGTGGGACTTCCTGTACATATTAAAAGGGAAATTATTGGAGTACGAAGACGTGGAACACTGGATGAGAATTCTAGAGCCCGTTTGCTCTGATCAAATGTTTTCTTGGTTTTCTTCGATTTCCTCCAGGTGAATGCCGAACCAGTACTTTTAACAACGCACGCTGGACCGAATGAGTGCATTCCTTTTCCCTTTATTTAGGACATCCCTGCCTCCACTCACCTCTTTTAAGGCGGCTCCACACATGCGAGCAACTGCTCGCCGAATTCCGTGTAGTGTGGACGGGTTGCTTGCGATTCGCCGAGCGCCGAACATTCGGTATCCACCGCGTGTCGGTCTTTACGCCACACCAAAGGCAGCGAACATTCCCCGAACAAATCAGCTGTTCGGGACTGGACTCGCTGTTCGGCGAATGTCGAATGTGTGGAGCCGCCTTTAGGCCGAACCCCCGATTTTCATCTGACCCTTCACCATTGATAAAAAGATCCCCCGAAAAAAGACAGATATCGCGGATGCTATTGAGATGTGAGTTCCCCGAGAGTCTATGTGCATGTACGTGTGTGTGAGTGCGAGCGCGCGCATGGGCTATCCATACTTAAAATATGA